GTATTTACTATTTTACCATTATTTATCGTTATCATATTATTTGTGATTCAAAAATAAATGACTGTAGTAGTCTAGTACTTGAAATGTTCAAATGTATACCCCTAATGTTCATCTTATAACAACAAGGTTAGGAAACATCGTTACGATAGCAGTTGAAAAATATTGAAAATACATAGGAACAATAAGCATTTAAAGCTCATAGATTTTGACAAAATGTATTAAATTGAAAATTTACAAATTATTTAGTACCTATAGTTAAAAATGTATAATAGGTGCGTTTAACTTTTATAGATAAGGATTGAAAATTTAAAACAAGGTTCCRTATAAATAGTTAGTTATGTAGCCAAAATATCCAAAAAGTATATAATATATTAAACAGTTTTTTGTACCTAAAACTGTTTTGAAGTTCAAATTTGGTCGAAATTACATAATAGGTATTAAATAACCAAGAGTCCAAGAATAACGATTTTAGTTAGGTATATTGTTGTAATTCAAAATATTATCCGTGGGTAGGTAGTTAAAACTTTTAAAATACCTATAATATTAAAATTTACAAATATAATAATATGCTAACAATATTAATTCAACCTATTGGCTACAATAGTAACAATAACAATAACAATATAATATAAAATATCATAGGCGTAATCGCTCGAAATCGTTTTTCGTAAAAAATGATGTTATATTATTGAATTCAAATTTAACACGATCCATTACAGAGACCCGCTTGTAGCCTACTGTACAGCTGAGCGTTACCCACTAACCCGTTTTTTTATGTTTCCTACAGTAACTTGTAAGTTATAACGCTAAGAACACAATTTAATAAAATTTTGAAAAATGCCTGTCAAAGAATCTAACGCACCCACATCCTCCCTTATACACGTGTCACCCWAGTGGCCTAGTCTGCGGTTTGACCGTCTGAGAAGTCAGAAATGAGACTAGTCACTAGTGAGAGTTAGAGACGAGAATAACCTAACCTTTGCAATAACTACTGGAAAGTGGAAAGTGATTACAATAGTAATATTATGCCTACCTATTGCTTATATATAAATAATAACAATAATCGAAATAATTACAGAAAATGAAAATATGGAACACGACAAGAAAATATTATGAAGAATATTAATAAAGTACGCGCGGGGAAACGTTATCGTCAAACATATGACTACGGATTACGGAACAAATCATATTAATATGATATACGAATAGGTATAGTAAATTAGTAACCCGTTGCCCATTGGTACATTTTTGTTGACTTGTGGTCTACTCAACTGGCTTATCAATAATTATCACCATATAAATAGTAGGTAATAGGTATAATAATAGTTAATAATTTAGTAGCTACTCAATTACCAATTACTTTGGACGTCTGGAATATTGAGTAATGAGTATTGACAGTCTTATAATATAATACACAACTTATGCAACATCACTCAAAAGTGCGAAACTCCAATATCCATTAACCAGTCACTATAGTGCCACTAACTACTGCTACAGGTCATATATTTTCCACGGTAAGTATTACAGTTATATTGTACTGCTAAATTTTTGTTTTAAAAATTATTTTTTATGATTACCATTTAGGCCAGTAGATACTTCAAATATGGCATCGAATTTGACAAAAATGGTGAAGTTCAATAACGGTCAGCTATATCCAATCTTAGGTTTGGGAACTTGGCAGGTAATATATTATTATATTAACGAAAATGTCGAATTTCTATTTTGTAGTTTTGACTGTGGCATTTTAAAAACATTCATTTTTCCAGGCGTCATCAGTTATTGATGACTCTACTCACGCTGCGCTCATCGACTCCATAAAAAGTGCAATTGACATAGGATATCGTCATTTTGACTGTGCGGCCATTTATAACAATGAAAAATTGGTGGGAAAGGCTGTAAATGATAAAATTTCAGAAGGTGTAATTAAAAGAGATGAACTATACATCACTAGTAAGGTATGTTGTGGCAATGTATTGATAAAAATGTTTATAAATATTTTAAATTACGATAAGGATATAAAATTTGTTTAAAATAAATACTAAGTTTAGCCAATACTTTTACAATTATCTGTAAAACGAGAAACAACATTTTTAAGGTACTAAATACATTAATTTTATAATGTTGGAGACAAATAASAGATTACAAATATCTTGATGAAAATATGACATTGGTAATAATTCCAATCACATGATGATATGCATAATCAGTAATTATTCTTAATTACTAAGAAATTAATCGAACCTAACCATCCTTTACTTCTACATTATTTATGCTCTGCTACCTTTGCATATCACATAATAATATAATATAATGCATTTTTTTAATAGTAAACAATGTTTCTTAAGATTGTATGGTTAACGGAAAATGATATAAAATACAGRAATGTAATAATATGTCTGGAACGGTGAATTATGTTAATGTTATGGACGTAATATTGCATCTGGGAGAAAGAAATGATTAAACTAATTTTAAAATCAATTACAAAAGTTATTTAATAATAACTTATTAGTAAATTGTAAAATTTAAATTTGAATTGTGCTTAATCTAATGAATTTGTTTGAAACCTTAGATATTTTTATTTTTGTTGTCTGCTTAACTTGTTTAATTTGTTTAAGCTGTGGAACAATAAGCATAGATTTGAGCTGGTAGAAGAAGCATTGAAGAATACTTTGAATGATCTGTGTTTAAGTTATGTCGATTTATATCTTATCCATTGGCCTTTTGGAACTAGTGTAA